GAATGAAGGGGGGGGGGGAATCTGTGGCTGCTCTGTTAATGCTCTAGCTGCAGAATGTGTTATCCACTCAGCTCAAGAGGCAGGGCCCAGCAATTCAGCTCCAGCAGGATCCTGCAGGCCCTCAGTCAATGCTGGTAACTGAGCTTAACTGCCCAACCCCGTTTCACAGGTCAGCTGGGTGGCCAGTGGCAGCTGAGTTGGCTGGGGCCACCTAGCTCAAGATCCAGTCTAAGCAGTTCAACTAAGCCAGCAGCAGCTAAGAGTCTGATCTTGCTGTAGACAACTGCCTGGCCTCATTTTGGAACTGGGTAGGCAGCCAGCACTGCCTGACAAGTCAGTGGAGCGCCCAACCAGTTTGACACAACCAGCAGCATCAGCCCTCTGTGTTTGAACTACTTCAGTCCATATGCTGCTAGAGGCTGGAATAGATGCTTCTAGTATATGTACCATCTTTATGGTGAATAAAAACTAACCCGTACTAATCACAGCAGAGATTTACTATTTAAACTTGACTTTGGATAGCCCAGCTGTTACCTCTCAGCTCCATGTTCTTGGGGAACCCTGACACAGGACGCAGACTGTCCGACACAAAGAATCCCCCCCCCCCAAACAGAAACTGATTAAAATGCAGTGAGAGACGCACCTAAAACCCTCCAGACGAGGGTGACAAAAGTGAAACAGCTGCCCTAGGTCTCATTTGCATCTGAGGTGGGACCAGATGACCATTCATTTACATGAGAAACGGAGAACAGAAAGCCTGAAGCAAAGACCGCAGTGAATTCTGGGATCAGAGATGTAGGGGAGCACTGCATGATGGGGAATCTGTGCTCCAAATACTAATCAACCCACACACCCAGCTCAGCATTTATCAGACCAGTTCTAATCTGAATTTACAAAGGACTTTTCCTCCCCTCCCCACACCTCTAAGCAGAAATAAGTTTAATATGTATCTTGGGCCATACATTCCCTGGTCCCACTATGGGAGGCCTACGTAAACTTAATCGGCTAAAACTCGGTTGCCGAGTTAGGGAATGCTGAGGCAAGAGACCGAGTCAGAGGGGGTATGGGCAACATTTGAACAATGGTACAGGGTTCATCACAGCGTCTAGCCCGTTGGAGCCCTGTCCATGAGTGTTGTCATACTTTTCCTGAGACCACTGGTGGAAGTCCTCTCCACAGAAGGCTACGAATACTCCAATAATTGCCTTAAGTCTGTTAAAAGACTATAGTAAGATCTGGAAAAGTCATGCTAAGCTGAGGCTTGTTCACAGCAAGTAAAAATCCAAAACCCTGATGCTGCAAACTATCTCTTGTTTCTGAAGACACCAGGAGATATCCCATCAGTATATCTGCCATCCATAGGAATGTCAAGCTGGCTCCTAAGTACGTGTTTTTTCTGAGTATCAATCAGTTTCCTGAGATGTTCCAACTAGATAACCCCTTGTCAACAGAAAAGACAATTTGATTTACACTACTGAGAATGCTTGAAAGAAGCTGAACTGAGGGTATAAAAATCTGTAAAAGAAGCAGCAGTGTGTGTGCTGACATCACCCGCTTTCTTCTGGAGAGGCTGAAGGAGGCAGATCATCTCCCTTCAAGGATCGTGCTGAGAACTTTAACCTGTCAGCTTTGCAACCCAAGTGCCTTGGACTGGTGAGATCCCAGCTCTATGCTTAGAGAGAGAGAGAGAGAGAGAGAGAAAAGAGGAAAGAGAGAGATTTCTGAACCTGACCTGTATTAGTTAAGCTTGAGCTAAGTTTCCCCAAACACCTAGTGAATCCAGGGTATACTGTGATTGTGTCTGTTTTTCCTTTGCATGTCTATTACTGCTGGTACTGTTGTATATTTCATATACTTAGCAATAAATAACTTTTATAGTCAAACTGATGGTAACTGGGTATATTTTTCCTTCTCTACTTCTCCTTCCCCACTTGCTCTGCAGCAACACTTCTTTTACCTAAGCTAAAGATCCCTGTGAAGCCCAAAAATACTGTGACATCTGCTCATCAAGAGGCTAAAAGATTGGGAAGTGCTGAGTTTGAAACACATAAGGGGGATCAGCTTGTACAGGCTGATTGACCCAGTTTGGCTCAGACATGCCCTAATGAACTGAATGCTGGCCCACGAGGGTGTCATCTGGACACCCAGCCAGATTCAGAGGTATTCTGTTTGCCTGTGTGCTTGTGTCTGACTGTAGTTATTGTTGCTCTGATGAACTGATTCTTGGCATATAAGGGTGTCAGCCTGTCCATGCTGATCAACCCGGCCAGGTCAGGCATGTCGCGTGTGTGTGTGCGCGCGCGCGTGTGCGCGCGCGAGAGAGAGAGAGATTTAGGGCGTGGAGGAACCCAGCCCCACTGAAACTGAGTCCTGCAAGATAGCTCCATTGGGGGTGAGGGCTTGCAGAAGGGAGAGATACAGCTCCGTATAGAAACACAAGTAACACAAGCAGCACATTAATAGAATTACCAAGACCCTAGCCCTAATAAGTGAGCACACCTCGAAGTAGCGGGCAAATCTGGTAACACAACATTGTACTTTATGCAATACTTTGGAGACTCCTCTGTAATTCCAGAGACATGATTTACATGCCTGGTCATCAAGGCATTGGAACTGCCAAGTATGGCACATGATAACCTCTAATTAAGTGTACCAATCAGACTACACCATACTAATACTGAACTTGCTACACATGAAACAGGCTTTGCTGGTTGCATCAGCTTTAGAATGTAGAAGAGGGGGAAAGAAAAAAAGTGTCCTGGAATTAGTTATATTCCTTAAGGCATAGAACAGCAATTACACTTCTGTACTACAGCACACTTGTCCTTTATCCTTATTAAAAATAGGCATTCCTTAACAGCAACTTGTTTTTAATCTTGGCATATAGATTCCTGGTCAGCGTACCAGCATCTTCAAGATCAGCTATTAGGAATTATTTACATCAGGGTGTCAAACTCACTTGGCCAGATTCAGACTGGGGGGTCCTCGCAGAGATGCACATGCATCCCACCGCTGGGTGGGCAGGGGGCATGACACAGCCTGGTGGCAGCAGGCACATGGCATCACACTACCTCCCAGGCACCTGCAGTGGCACACAAAGCCCAACATGCACAGCTGCCTCTGTCCTACACAGAGATTGGGGGGGGGGGGGGGGGGCCCCCCCCCC